CCTGAGTCTCTTAGAGGTGTAGCAACTTAGTGTAGTGGTCTAGTCGTCACTCTCTCCAAGTGGCAGGTCTAGAGTTCGAATCCCATAGACGATGAATTTTGAGTTATAGTTTTTGCATTACAGTTGACAGTTATGATTATCTGTTGGATCTTAGATAAATTTGTAACTTTGGTCACACCATCTAGTAATGGGAGCAATGGCGCAATAAAGCTGATGAACCAAAATAACTAAAAACCCATTTGGGAAGTTCTGAGTTAAGGAATAGCGATGATTTTTGATAGTACTACATGAGAGCTAAATTTGAACCAGGGCCCAAGATCGGAGAACCAAACAACTAGGTCCTAATAGCAGAGGATATATCAGCTAAACTGCCAGGTTTTATTGCACTGGAGGAAAATGACATATGCTCTGAAAATATGTACCAAAAGGAGGACATCCTTCAGACATCTAAAGCCTTAGCAGACCGACCTTTTCAAGTTGCTAGCTAGAAGTAAGAGAGGGACTGATAAAGAATCTAGGTAAGAAGACGGTTTAAATATGGGTACTAGAGTTGTTGTAAACCTTGATAAGAGCAAAAGTAGGTAATAGTTGACTAATTAGAAAGGTTGTAACTTGAAATATAAACCAGGTTATAGCAATATCCTAAAAAATAGCTTAAGATATGAGTTTGGTGATGGTAGCATAACAGATACAAGTTAGTTACAAAGGGTCTAATAGTTAGCATGCATGGGTCAAGCTATGGCATAAAATTACTGAAGTTTGGATGAGACATATGAATAGGACATGTGCTCTAGCAAATAGGCAAGCATGGCCTTCTGTTGATCTAGCAGATAATCTTCTAGCAAGTTAGAGGCCAAAGAGAAGATAAATCAGTGACTAGATGGTTATATATAGACACCTTAAAGCAGCCATGTGATGCTTTAAACATGAATAGGAGGTGTGGTAAGTCTGGGAACTGTAACACTGAAGGAGAGAAACTCAGGATATATATAAAAATATATATAAACTAGGCTGCTATACTACTATATAAATACTTAACTATTCAGACATAATAAAGTAGCTACCATTGAAACCAAAAAAAAAACCCCCTTCGGGTTTCTTATATTTTACTAATTTTAAATTCTATAATAGACTCTAGGTCTAGTATACAGCAAGAGTTTATGTCATTAAGAGAAAAACTTTAATGAGTATGTATATTTTGTATTTATAATAAATAATCCAGATATTTGAAAAAACACATATTTAATTAATATTAATTTTATGATACACATCTGGATATACTACATGGTAGGTCTACTATTATGGAGAATCTTATCTGGTAATTTATAGTATTTATAGTTCCTAGTGTTCAAAGATGACCCATTTTACCAAACCATTTTTCAGCCACAATGCCACAGTGATCGACAAGTAATCGACAAAAATTAGCCAATAGAAATTATAGATTGTGCCACTTGTAACTGCTAAGTACAAACAGACTTTATATAGATTAAAGGTTAACTGCATTGAAAATAAATTTGCCATTCTCAATAGCATATATATATTGTTTTTTGCTTATTGTTTTTATGCAAAGAGATTCTCTTCACTTATTGAGATTGATAATATAGCTACTTTTTCTACATAAAATATCGAGGATTTTAAATTTCCTGTACTATACGTATGCAGCAGGTTACAAGTACTACATATGTACGTAGCAGGTTCCTAATACAAGTACGTACTACATATGTATGTAGCAGGTTCCTGATACAAGTACTACGTATATACGTAGCAGATTTCTAATATGTTCAAGTACTGCATATGTACATACTTACGTACATAATCTAGCGTTAACTCAAAAAATTCTTTAAAAAAAGTTTTTTCTAACATGAACACATTAACACATTAATAGTCCCTATACTTGGTATTAAGATTTTGTAAAAAAACTCAAAGTTTACTTGCAAAGCTAAAATTTAGAAATGCTTTATTTTCGCAAGTGAGTACGACAAAAAATGTCAAACAGAATTCAAGTATAAGTTATAGAAAAACTTTGATTTAAAGAATTTTTCTATATACATACATATTAACCTTACATTATTATATTATCTAGATGTGTTATCGAATATAAAATGCTTGAAAAGAGGGGAAATTCTGTATATAGAAGCTATAGAAAACTTATTTTTTTTAACTTGTATAGGATGACTTCCAATGCTGTTTTTTTTCTTGTTCTAGTGGAATAATATTTAAACTAGAAGTTACACGCCTATGAGGATTTATTTCTTCATATATAACGTCAACCAGATTTATTGCAGCTTTGAATGAATCCAAGGTAACAATATCATGAAGGTGTGTTAGTAAAACATGCGGATTACTATTAAAGTATTTTTGTATTGAGGTTTGTTCAGATTTAATTAGGTCCTGGAGGAATATTAAATTCTCTTGCAATGTATAAAGACTCCTCAAGGTAGACTCAAAGAATTCACTAAATTCTTGCTGCTAAATAGCAGCAGCGTTAAAACTTTTAGCATCAATTAAATTAGATTCAGATTGAATTAATATAGATACAACCGTTTTAGATGATGATATTTCTGTTGAAATATCAATTCCAAGAATATGTCCTATATAATTAAAAACCTCTTTGGATGAAATAGGTGAAGAGCTATTATTATTATCACTTTCATTGTCTGTATTTTCAGTGTTTTCAAAATTTTTAATATTTTCATTGTCATTGTCATCACTAATTTCATTATCATTTTCAGAGCTCTCTAATATTTCAGATTTTTCAGCATACAGATTACGACGAATATTCAGAGCTTCTTGGTAAGTCGGGAAAGTCATTTCAGGCAAATGTGAATATTTATCTTGTCTGCGAAGTTCTTCATATAAAGGGCCGCAGCATGAAGATGCTTGCACATAATTCCTGTTTGAAGAAAGTCAGGGTATTGACAACAAATATCTGTTGGCTGACCATACACACAGGTTGCATAAACAAGCCCTGGTGTAGATTCAGACTCAATTTCAACATATATTTTTTCTGTTGTGTCTTTTACTTTATACCTTACTATTTTATTTGTGTTAAGCAATCTCTTTGCTAATTCATCATATTTAATGCTTGATAATAAATAAGCAATTTGGGGAAACTCTTGCATAAGAGTTTTACGATCCGATGGGTTCATAATATTAAGTTCTTTTCATCGGTCAGCTTTTTCGCGTTCAAGATTTGTAGCAAGAGTTCGCAGTGTCAAAATATTAGATATAACCTCATACACAAGAGCGATACAAAGTATATCAGCTCTAAGTAGATGACGATTTCATTGAAATCTGCTTAATTGATTGTTTTTTAAGCATTCATTCATCCCTTCAAGATGATTGTTTGTAGTAGAAAGCTTTTCAAGTAGAATCCCAAGAACTTTTGCAGCTCTCATCCGTCCTTCAAGGCACCAACTATAAAGAAGATCTCCTGCCCATTGTTTTTTCAAATAATTAAGAAATCTTATTCCACCTTCTAATATTTTTTTTTATTTTCTGTAATGTTTGTATTAATATGATTTTTTAATGATTCTTTTTTTTTTATGATATAGTCACGTACCATTTCTTCACTACCATTCATCAACCAAGTTTCCTACATAACACTTTTTAAATACGTCTTTAGAGTTTGTTGCTGCAGAATTGCATCTTTATTACCACCTTTACCTAATTGTTTATTGATTTCGTTTTTCTAGCATTGACTAATATGAAAATAACAAAGTAATAAAGTGATTTCTGGCCACACATTAGACAATGGCTTCCATTCTTTGACATCAGTATCAGTCATTGTGACAAGAGGATTAAATTTAATTGGAATAGCATTTGGATTTTCTGTAAGTTGACTTTGATTATAATTATTACTAATTTTGTCACGAAATATCGTAAAAAGCCATTCTAAGATCTTACTATCATACCCAGATGCCATTAGTTTATTATGTTGAGGTGGTGTAAAAAGAATAAAGGTAATAGGAACACCTTTATTATTATTATCAATAACCATAATAATGAATAAAAGCAATTTATGTTTGCTAATCCTGAAAGTTATATCAACAAGAATAAGATTCTGATGTCCATATTTCCATACATACTCCTGCTATTCACGGGTACAAATAATGATCTCCAGGTGGTTAGCTTCTTCTATGCGAGGTTTATAATGTATACATGCCTCTTTGAGTTCAGATTGGTTTGCATCTGGTCCAAAGAATTTATCTAGATATTTCGCCAGATTCATGTTTAATATTAACATTCAAATTCTTTCGCAGCATCTGTTTTTTAATATTAGAAACATCCAACGCAGTTAGCAGTGTTTTTGAATTTCCGATTAAAGTATAATTTCCAAATACGTTTTTCACAATTCTTGCATTTTGGGCAAAGATTTCTGATGATTTTACATTAAGGTTTAACAAGATTTCAACACTATTTCTCACATATGGCAAAAGCTTATATAAGGGGTCACGTTGAGGCTAAGAAATTATACATTGTTTAGAATGTTCCAGATAGCCTGCAATACCGCAAATTTCATTATTATGAATAGAAATTGTGACGAATGCAAGACATCCAACATAAGGGTAACGTGCAGCTGAAACTCGAGAAGTTGATGAAACTGCCTTTTCCCGGTAATTTCCACATATGCATTGTTTAATAATCTGTGTTTTTGTTGAATGTCGGGTAGCCCATTTGCATCGCACATCATCAGAGTTGATATCAAGTTCATTTTTCTGAAGAACCTAATTTCGATTTACAATGTGTTTCTCTTTAGATGAATCCTATGTTATTTCAACTATGCCAGGTACATTGTTAGACAACAAATCACTAAGTTTAATTTTATCCTCCTCTTTTAATAGAAGGTGCGAGTTTAATCTTGCCTTTACTCTTGGTTCGTAAGTGCCTTTTTTTTTTATTTCTTTAGAAGTTTTAGTATTTGAAGTCATTTTATAAGCTTGAAAACAGTAAGAGCTAGGATTGACAATAAATTTGAGTAAAAAGGGTATGTATATTTAATGTTCTTAAGTTTGAAAACAGTAAGAGTTATGAGTATCGGCAAATTTGAAAAAGTATGTTCAACGTTTTAAGCTTGAAGTTAGAGATAATGAATTTGAATAAAAAAAGGTATGTTTAACGTTTTTAAGCTAAAAAAGTAGAAGCTGAAGATTATGACAAATTGAGTAAAGAAGATAATATTCAATGCTTTCTTGAAAGTTTATTTGACGATCCTTATGAATGGATTTGTCAACTAAGCTTTATATTTTAATGATTAATTATATTTCGTCAACTAAGCTTCATATTTTAATGATTATAACTGATAAATTATGTATTTTTGGAGTTTTATTTATCTAGCATTATTGTAGTTTTATAATAAATTAAATAAAAGCATCAATTATAGTAATATCTGTTATTGTGATATTATTTATTATATTATTAATATATTTTTATTAATTATATTAATTTGATGTTCAAATCAATACTATAAATCACCGCTACAAGACTTCCACAATAGTAAATCTACTACATATCATACCCGAATATGAATTATGGAATATATATTAACAAACTAGTCTTTTTGCTTCTCTAATTTCAGAGCTATTAGGATATTGAGATGATTAGTTTAGCTTTCGAATTGGTTGTAAACCTTATAAAATAATGTTTTTTCAAGGATCTTTTGATAAAACCATTTTGTTTTATGCAAGGTGATCAGTAAATTAATAAAATTGTAGTCAATTATAAATTATTAAAGCACAATTTTTTTATTATAAAAAATAATAAGCATCTTGCACAAGCTATCGCTATACAATATGTAAACCATACACTAGTATATTTCATGTAACTTCTATATTAATTATGCATTTAAGATCTATATTTAAACTTTATAAAGCTAAATTTTTTTAAGTTTTTTACGAAACCTCAATATGAGATATAGGACTATATATTAAAGTATTTTTTATTTATATACTGTGTTAGAAAAAGAACAAGAAATGTTCATCAAATTTAGTTATATGATTTTACTCTATCTTCGTTTAAATTTAGAAAATTTTATTAAAGTATAAGATAAAAATTAAAAACTAAATTTGGTACGTAGAAAAAAGTAAGTACGTATATACGTACTTAACAGTTACAAGTGTATAGTCTATAATTTCTATTGGCTGATTTTTGTCGATCACTTGTCAATCACTGTGGCATTGTGGCTGAAAAACGGTTCGGTAAAATGGGTCTTCAAAGATAAGCTGGCTTATTATGGCTTGCTGAGGCTTATCACATGATAAATTCAAATTTATCACTAAGCCATATGATAGTTTCAAATATATCATGTAATAAATTTGAGATTATCACATAGCTTGATGATAAATTTGAATTTATCATGTGTTAAGCCGCATTAGGCCACAGCAAGCCATGATAAACCAGCTTATTTTTGAACACTAATAGTTCCAGTCCAGTCTGGTTCTTCAGTAGTGTTTTTAATAAACCTGAGTTCAAAATTCATGAACATGTTCAAAATTTAAAATAAAGAAAAAATTATATAATTGCAAATATAAAAATATCTAATTGCTATTCTGTTTCAAAGGTATTGAAAAGAGCTTTTCTTTGAGAAACTCCAAATTTAAAAATTTTCTATTATAATAAAATTTTTAAATTTCAACTAAAACATTTTTCTTTACTAAGTAAACCTTTTTCAACTTTTAATAAAGGTTGCAAAGAAGTATTTTTGATCAAAATAGTGGTTAAAATATTAAAATCAGCCCAGTAGATTACAAAATATAAGTATTTTTATCTTTACAATTATATACTTCTTTATTTTTATTAAAAATAAGCATATAATTATAAAGATAAAAATACTTATATCATGTAATTTACTAGGCTAATTTTAACAGTTTAATCACCATTTTAATTGCTAGATACTCTTCTACAACCTTTATTAGAAGTTGAAAAAAGATTTATTTAGAAAGAAAAATAGTTTAGTTAAAATTCAAAAATTTTATTATGATATAAAATTTTTAATTTAGAGTTTTTCAAAGAAAAATTTTTCTTTACTAAGTAAACCTCTTTTCAATATCTAAATAAAGTTGTAGAAGAGTGTTTTGAGAACAGAATAGTAGTTAAAATATTAAAATCAGCCTAGTGAATCATGAGATATAAGTATTTTTATATTTGTAATTATATACTTTTTTCTTTATTTTAAACTTTAAACATGTTCATTAGAAATACTATTCTTCAGTCTGATAATAGTTCTTTAATGATTATATTATTCTTAATTTATAAGATTTTATTGACTAAAAATAATATAATTATTTACTGTCAGATATAAACAAATATTACATATATCTAATTAAGAACTTTGATTAAGTAATATAAATATCACATTAATATTTACAGGGACTAGTTTTTGAACTAGTTTTTTAATAGTTCTATGATCCTTAATAGTTCTAGTTTAAGACTAGTCTAAACTAGTTTTTTTTAGAACTAGTACATTTCTACTTATCTCTTGTCTTTGTAATTTTTATAGCAACCTAGTATTTATATTTAGACTTTTTATTTCTGAATTATTTATTAGTCTCTTCTTTACTTCTAGCTAGCAACCCAGAAGAGTTAATCTGTCTAGGCTTTAGATACCTCATAATCTCTCTCTCTTTGGTATATGTTTTTAAAGCATATATTTTTTTTATCTAGTGCATTTAAACTAGTAGCTTAGCTAATATATCTCTTCATTTAAGGATTTGGTTATTTAATTCTCTAATCTCAGTTTCTAGTTTCAAGTTTAGCCTTTTCTGAAGCACTGTTAAAGATCACAACTACCTTTCTACTTGGGGCTCTCCAATTTGTTTTAGTTATTTCAGTCTCCTGTATTTACTATTACACCAAAGCTTCTATTCTAAATAGTGTTATCAAGATTATAAATTTTTAGATCTAACCAATAATTAATAACTGTCAACTATAATATAAACTTATTTTTCAAAATTGTTATCTGTGAGATTCAAAATCTAGACCTGCTACTTAAAAAGTATGACAACTAGATCACAGCACTAAGTTACTATATCTCTTATTATTTTTGCATTATATATATGGAGGTGAGTCAGTAGAAATGTGCAAATTTATTAAATAAATTTGTCACATTTCTACTGACTCACCTCATATATATAATATATTAGTATTATTATATATATAAACTATATAAAAATTTCTAGATTTAATATTAGGTGTTTAATTTTTGTAATAGTTTTACAAGGTTGATCTACAATCTATTTAATATTAATTTTTAAATATTTATATTTACTTTTAAATATAATATTTTTTTTGATGTTAATGGTAAGACCTTGCTCTTATCTTTATTAAATTTAATACAAAAACTAAAAGAAATTTTGATATTTAAATCTAATACTAAGAATAAGAATTCAGACATATATTTAAGTAAACCTAAATACTTATTTGTGGTCTAAACCAACCAAAGTGGCCAAGCCTTATCTAGATTTCAAAAATAGTGAAAATATGAGAAGGTTGTAAAGAGTATTTAATCTAATTAGAATACCATAAGTCAAATTTGGATAAAGAATTAATAGTTATAAAGTTATTAGATAATTAGAACAGAGTCATTGAGAAAATGATGTATGAGATGAGAAGAGGGTAGACTGATGTGTCAACTAAGTTTGAAATCTAGATATACAATATGGAATCCATAATGTTGTATATAATTACTAATTAATATTAAGAAGGAGTTTTATTGCAAAAGTAGTAGCAGTTTTGTTAATGAGATATATTTGCTTAGCAAATTGATAATATCAAGTGGGATAAGACCTGAGAGTGTAAAAAACAAAGAAGGTTTGTATATAAAGTTATGAATTTGAAAGCTATCAAGGTTTGTTATTTTAATATGGAGTTGCTTTGCTTGAAACTGAGAAATCTGAAGCTTATTGTAGTTTTGTATATTTTGTATAGAATCTTGAATAAGATTAAGTAGGCAAATAGAGAAGAGCAGACAGCTTAGTGTAGTGAGGTATTTTCTTGTTAACACAAGTGACATTTATTAAAGACAGATGAGTAATTTTTGTGAAGAATATGAGATGTTGGTAGGTTATCTAAAAGTAAAATAGTTTTGAATAACTTAAATATAGAAGACTGGAACCTATAAGATAAGTTAAAAGTTTTTTGGTTGTTGTTAAGATAAAGCCAAGTGGCTTGCTAGTGAATCTGCAAACAAATTTGAAACTATTTATGAAAGCAGATTTGTGATGATTAGTTAGCAAAGATATATGTATGCCATATTGTTCTAATACAACAACGAATAGGAAATTCAATTGGATAGCCAATAGAGCAGAAAGTAAATGAAAGATTATATATATTATTTGAGTTAAATATTAGAAGTAATACAGTTTGATGATTGTAGGCAAATTGATCTGCAGTGTTATTAAGAATATCATCCTAATGGGTATTGATTTTGTAAAAGATGATATTTATATTATATAATTGAGAAAATTTAAAGAAAGTGTTATAAATAGACTAGTAAGGTATATTAGTAAGATAAGAGATAGTGTTTTGATAAGATATATTATTAAATTTGGAGATGACTGATTGGGAGTCTGTATAGATTTGTATTGTGTAGTTTCAAGAAGCTGTGCAGATAGCAAATACTATTATAATAAGTTTTGCCTTAAAGGAGTATGGCCATAGCTCGATTTTTATTTGAAAATTGTGAAGTATATTTTGATTTTCTACTTGTAACTAACCAATACCCATAGAATATTGGGTATTGCCTATATTAATTATTGAATCATCAATATAGAAGCTAAGATTAGAAGCATTTTGATTATAATTAGCTATTGTTTGAAAAGTTTGTTATACATCACTAGATAAAAAGATGAAAGAGATTTGAGATTGTTTAATAACAAGTTTGAATATAACTAGAGTATAGATAGGGTTGAAAAGTAGAATAGAGTATATAAGGTTCTGGTAGTTGATATGAAAGTTAACTGATTTGTCTAAGTTAATATGGCCAAAAAATTTTGCTGCCAAGTTTATTGAAATAAGGATAGTGTATTTGTTTGAAATAATATTAGAATTAAGTATACAATTAATACAAGGTATAAGAGAGATAGGGAGAAGTGAATAAAGATGTAGTAAATAAGTAAGATTATAGCATTGCTAGTGGGTTATCAAGGTGTATTCAGTGGAAGTAGATTGGCAACAAGCTTTGCTAACAATAAATTAATTGTCAATTTGGAATACTAGCCAGGGTTTAGTGTGCTAATAGAAATAACCAGTACT